TCATTTCACGAGTTGGGTCTTTCCTAAAACTTTTGATTTGAGATACAATGAAAGTTATAAATTTGAACAGAGACAATGTCTTGTAAACTGACCCATGTGCACATGTTCTTAGCTTCTCTTGGACATTCAAGAATGTAAAAGAAAAATTAATAATAATCTTCAGGTCATGTCAAAACAAACATTATATATATATATATATATATATATATATATATATATAAGTAAAAAGTTTGGATTTTCAGCCAAACAAATTTGTAACACAATGGAAGTTATATGAAGAATTGTATGTTTAGTCTGTTTATGAAAATGCCATTGGCCAATATCAAATACAAGTCTAATACTTCCAACATTACTTAGAAAACGCCATAAATCCTAGGAGAAATATTACCTATTCTATTTCCTGTCTATAATACGCATTAATTACTAGTCTAATACATCCAAAATTTCTTTGCAAGTACGGAAAATCCGATTGAGTTATATTACTTATTCTCTTATCTGTGTATAATACGCATGAAATAAAAGTCTAATACATGGAACATTTCCTACAGAACAGAAGATTCTATGGATAAAAATAAGTAGTCTTATTTCCAAGTGTTTTTCAGCCAAACTTTAAATAATACTAATAATTCTATTTTCCCTGTATAACACGCTTAAATAAGTCAAACTTACCCATCATTTCTTAGAAAATCCTATGTAGAAATAAAAATGCATTATCTGTGGATAATACGCATCAAATAGAAGTATAATTCATCCAACATTTCTCATAAAATGTAGAAAATCCTATGGAGTAATATTAATTATTTTATTTCCTGATTATAATACGCATCAAATACAACTCGATTTCAACCAACATTTTATAAAAAAATACCGAAAATCCTATGTAGAAATAATAATTATTGTATTTCCCGTGTATAATACGCATCAAATAGAGTTATACTACATTAAAAATTTCTGAGAAAATAAAAAAATCCTATGTAGTAATATTAATTATTCTATTTCCTGTGTATAATACGCATCAAATGCAAGTCTAATTCTTCCAATGTTTCTTAAGAAAGTAAGAAAAGTCCTATGTAGAAATAATATTTATTGTATATCCTTGCTATAATACGCATCAAATACAAGTATAAACAGCCAAATCTTCTTAAAAATCCTCTGCAGTAATAATAATTATACTATTTACTCTATATAATACGCATAAAATACATATCTAATGAATAAAAATTTCTTCGAAAATACCGAAAATTTTATGGAGAAATATTAATTATTTTTTACTGTGTATAATACGCTTTAAATTTGGAATCCAATTCATTGAACGTTTCTCAGAAAATAACGAAAATCCCAATGGAGAAATATTACTTAATCTATTTCCTTTGTATAATACTCATCAAATATAAGCCTTACACCATCCAACATTTCTTAGAAAATATGCAAAACATATATAGAAATATAAATTATTGTATTTCCTGTGTAAATCACGCGTCAATTACAAGTCAAATTTATCCAACATTTCTTAGAAATTACCGAAAACCGTATGGAGTAATAATAATATTTCAATTTGTCTGTATATAATACGCATCAATCCCAAGTCAAATATATCCAATATTTCTTAGAAAATACCGAAAATACTATGGAGTAATATAAATTATTCAATTTCCTGTGTATAATATGCATCAAATAAATATCTTATACATCGAATATTTACAAAATAGCGAAAAATGAAAATGAAAGTCAAATTCATCCTACATTTCTTAGGATATGACGAAAATCCTATGGATAAATATTAATTATTTTATTTATAGTGTATAATACGCATCAAATACAAGGCTAATACATCCAACATTTCTTAGAAAATATCAGAAATCCTATGTTGACATATTTATTATTTTATTTCAGGTGCATAATACGCATCAAAATCACGTCTTATATATCAAACATGTCTTATAAAATACCCAAAAACTTTGGAGAAATGATAATTATTACGAAATATACGAAATAACGAAAATCCATTTAAGAAATATTAGTTGTTTAATTTCCTGTGTATAATACGTATCAAATTGAAGTCTATGTTCTCGAACATTTCTTAGAAAATAACGGAAATCCTATGGAGAAATAGTAATTATTCTACTTATTGGGTGTAATACGCTTGAAATACTTATCAAATTCAAATCTAATCCATCCAACATTTCATAGAAAATAAAGAGAATTCTATGGTGAAATATTAATTATTCTATTTCCCGCGTGGAATACACATTAAATCAAGTCTAATATATCCAAAATGTCTTAGAAAATAACGCCGATGCTATGGTGAAATATTCATTATTCTATTTCCTGTGCATCAAAAACTTCCTTATCTTTTCTTATTAAGCATTATATTTCCTATGTATAATACGTATGAAATGCAATTCTGATACATCACATTTCTTTGAATATACGGAAAGTACTATGGAGATATATTAATTATAAAACACAGAAAATAGAATAATTAATATTTCTTCATAAAATTTCCTGTAATGTTCGATGTATTAGACTTGTATTTGATGCGTATTATACACAGGAATTAGAATAATTCATATTCCTCCAGGAGATTTTCGTTAATTTCGACGAAATTTTTGGATGTATTAAACTTGTATTAGATGCGAATTATACACTTTGTGACACCCACCTGTGGTCGCGGTCGAAGGGTCAATATGTGGCGTCCTCTGGTCGAGACGCCAATATGTGACACTGCTCTGTCGGCCCGTGGTCAACTCCCAGTTGCGGCGCGAAGCTGTAAGGTTTCTTCCACCAGCGTTTTGGGGTTGACTCTTTGTCGTTGCCACCAGCCTGTGTCCCGGTCGATATGGTCGTTCCTGGTTCGATACCAGCTTTGTTGTTCCCAGCTCACTTCCAACGTCTGGTTACCGAACTAACTACTTTGATCTCAAGTCTAACCTACCCACGTTGTTGACTTTGGTCTTAGGTAGACGAAATCAATCAGGCGTCGGGCTGTAGTACAAGCCGAATCTGGGGTAAAGGTGATATCGCACAAGCGTAAGTAAAAGAAATAATTAATTTAAGAGGTTCAAATATGAAATAACAAAATTATCTTTATCAATCTGTTGAATACAGGAGTGTGTTTCTCTCCCAGCCTGTTTCTATGGATTCGTGACACTTACGTTTCTTAAGCAAGTTTTGGTATCTTAAGTTGTTCATCAATATAACTTGCTTTTTAGTAGAAAGGCTAAGTCGGAAGGACGTGGAATTTTCGGTCATGGCTTCTTCGAGGCAACGGCCTGACTGCAACTGCGAATCAACTGCTGGAACTCCTGCAACCAACTAACTGCAAACTGCCTCGAGACGTTCGTTTATATGGATACTGGCCAAAACATTTACAAATTTTGTTTACAAAATCCTTTTTTAATTCTTTTCACATCTTTCTTTCTTTTGGGGACACCCAAAATTCACTTAGTCGGGTCTCTACTGACTCATCAATCACTGTCAAAACCCGACACCTGGTTTCTTCTGCTAAGTCAACTTTTAGCTGGGAGGTTCGTATTTTACCTGAGAATCAAATTCTTTATTTTCTCATGCCTTAAAATCCTCTTATCCCCAAATACCCATTTTCGACGATGCTGTGTCTGACGTCAACAGTTTGAATAAGCAATAATAATACGATTTTCTTCCTCATGCCAGAATTCTAACACACACCAGACAATTTCCCTTCGTTGGACCAAGGAATTAAAATTAAATGATATCTCTGAAAGATAACTAATATCTATTCTTCGTGGTGGTCTCAAACCGAAATTTTTTTATGATGTGTCGGTTGGCTTTTATTTTTCTTTCTGAATTCTGTTTCCTTGGTGCGTCACTCTTTTATCATGACATTAATCAGTTTTGACAGAATCTCATATATCGCTTTTTCTTACGGATTTTCTGTCTCGTGCGAAGAGTATCTTTCTTCGTAAATAAAATCAAATCTTCTTTTTTAACGTCGATCAGTCTATCTTTCGATATAGCTCTTTCTCGCCTTAAGTCTTTCCTGTTTTCAAAGTAGGCAGTGAAAATAATCTGCCCTTGTAGCCAAAAGGTTTTTGAAATTCATAATCTGGACTTTTTTTTTAAAATGTATTTTACTGTTTATTAACCTTATCATTCTGCATTATTAATATTACTTCCCTTTACACTGCATTATTTTTCAAGGCCTCTCAATTGCAGATACCTCATTGTTAATTTCACACAAAAGTGTTTTCTGTTGCCATAGCAGGATATGACAACACAACTATGATCAGAGTCACTTTCTGTTGCAGGATAAGCTTTCTGCATAGCAAATGAATTTAAATACTGAATGATAAAGGTTAAATACTTTAGATACTTTGTTTTCTTGTGTATAATTGTGACACTATTTAGCTATGGTAATTGGCTAAGTAATCGTCTTTGTTGCCATTTTTATAGCATTTCATTACGATTCAGCCGTTGTACGCTCTGGCCTTCTTCAGGTGGTTGGAATGCCGAACTGAACCTTTATTTCACTCACTGGGTTAGACTGTTCTAGTTCCATGTCTAATGGATATCAGTTATCTCCTGTTAATTCCCCTCTCCAAGTTCTCCACCGCCTTTATCCACTGTGCCATGTGTCCTTGAGGACACAGGGTACAGTGGATAAAGGTGTTAGTTAGATCCTGTGACAGGACCTAAAGAGCGTTAGTTCAATACCTGGTTTCACTTACTGGGTACAAATGTTTGAGTCAACATCGCTATATTTTAAATAGTGAAAATAAGCAGTGAAATGCCCATATCTAAATCCCATCTACTTCTCACTCAGTAGAACAAGAATAGTCTAGCAGTGTAGATTAAATAAAAGGTTCAGTTTTGAATTTCAACATACACCAGATGAAGGCCAGAGGGCACAATGACTGAAACATTGCGATAACAACAACAAAGATAAGGACAACAGTCCAAATGTAATTAATGTAAATAATGATAACTCCTCATCCAAAAAATTCATATAGAAATTGTTACTCTTACTTGAAACTTTTTTCATAGAATGCATATGCTGCAGCAAAGTCATCATTGTGCAAATAAACAAGTATAATGCCAGTGACTGATTTCCCAATCATCGGATAACTCTGGCTTCTTTCGTGGAATGCTATCTCCTTCTTCAGACATTCCATTGCTTGGTCCAGCCTGTTGGACAAGAAAAGACAGGATTTAATACACACACACACACACACACACAAAAATGGTATACATATCTCACTGCAAGAAAGATTAAGAAGAAATGCATTCACACTGACTTATTTTGGGAGATCCTAACATTAAATTTATAAAACAGTTATATTTATCAAGAAGCTCTGGTATACACACACATATATATATATTTAATACCAATATAATGTGTGCACACATTAATTATATGCATTTCAAGATACCTTCTCCTGTGGTGAATGATATTTTATTTAATCTGGGCTGTTTAGTTTTTTGGAATAACAGCTTCTAGAGTTTTGGGTCTTTCCTTGCATTCAGTACTTTAGATTATTTTGGTGTTATCTACTAGTATTTACCATATGTTGATATGTATGGATAAATATAGGTAAATGTATGAGCAGGTGCTCATACACACACACATTATATATATGTGTGTGTGTGTGTGTGTGTGTGTGTGTGTGTGTGTGTGTGTGTGTAATAAAAAAAGTGCTCAATGTTAAATACCAGAGCTATTTAATATATTAAGAAATATACATAATACCTTACACTGAATGCACAACTCTGTAGAAATTCAAGAGATAAAAACAAAAGTAATAACATTGATAATTAGATTATAATATTTATTGTATATTAGTTGAATATTTAACCAAATGGAAGCATGATGAGAAGGATTTTAAAAATCAGAATTTTTGGACACATCTATGTCCTTTCTCAACAAGACAAGAAAATTATTTACATAATAAATCTAAATGGCACAGCCACTCATATCCATTGATGCCAGTCTACTAGGGCGGCTAGCTAATCCCCATTGCAGACGCCTGCTCAGGCACACTAGTGTTTGTTCTCCACTCACAGAGCCCACCTGTGTTTTATACTGCAACTATACTGAGCAGACCTTAGTTACAGTTTCTGGGAGAGAGCATGTTATCTAGCATGGTCAACAATCTGAACAAAGCCAGCACACTCAAACCCTTGGTCACGATAAGTTGTGACTTTGTGCTAGCACAACCATCAGTTCCATCTGCCCAATTTCACTCACTCGACTTGGGTCAACCCATGGTGTGATTTTCAGGCACTTTTCAAAGATGCTGCACACTGGAATCACCTCTGCCAGAACAATAACATCAAGAAGTCACCTTCCTGATATTTTGACTATGATGAGATTCGAACCCAGGTGTCATAGTCAAAAAGCTAACATTCTAATCACTTAGTCACATGTCCATATACATAATAAGGTTTTTATACATATACACACACACATTATTTATTTATTATATATATATATATATATATATATATATATATAACAAGTGGAAAAACATTTCATTGTGTTTTGCCCTTACTAGGCATCATCAGATCAAAAATGAAAGAAAGAAATGTGTGTGTGTGTGTGTATGTCTGCTAAAATAATAAATTGTTAGTCCTTTTTCCACTAAGCTGGCATTTCTTGTGATGAAAGAAAAGAATGAAATTGTGCGAATTTTGTATAAAAGCTGTTAATATTTATCCTATATCTTTTCTTTCATGACAAGAAATGCCAACTTAGTGGAAAAAGTATATATTATTATACTATTATAGGTTTCAAAGCTTTTCATAGCCAGGGGGTGAGGTGATAGTGGGGGAAAGCTCCCACTGTCTATAAAATGCTTCTATGGCATTAATTGCCTCTGACAACTAAGTCTAGTTCCAAGCCAGAGAATGGACAAAGGTGGACAACTGGCACGTCATAACCAGCTGATTCAGATAGATGGCGCTTGACAACTCTAGAAGGCAGTCCATCTTGAGGAAGGAAAGCTCTAATTTTAAACCTCCACTGCCTTGCGGTCATATCCAAACATAGAAAAGGTTATGGAAGTAAATCCAGACAGAAAACCTGCGGTAGAGCCCCAAAGGTGGTTGGTTGTCCAAACCGAAAACTTTCTGGTAACTCCTGCAGCCAAACTATTCACTCATGTAATGCCTTGTATTCCTTTGTTGGTATGGCTGAAAGTGAGGCCATGTAATCTGGGCAGCACATGGCTTTCATATATTCCATCAACCAGGCCTGCACCTTGGAGAGGCCACACCAGTTTAACCCCCAACGGACTGAATTTTAACAAAACAAGGTGCTGCCTTTATCTTATGAGATAAATGGATGTCTACTAGGCTTACAGCAGGATCACATTGAAACACTGTTTCTTGTATGTCAAACTAAGTAACTACATTGGTATCTGCTTGGGAAGACCAGGTTCTGTAATCTGTGGATGTGCAGGTGGTATAATGGATAATGACTTGGAATCAGAGAACAGGGTTCCAATTCTACGCAGGTTCATTATATTTTCTTACATGTAAATACCCATGGGAAAGATATAAATTGATCTCTTCTACCTCCATCTATGAGTTAATTAGTAAAATAGTAAATCATTATTATCTCTCCAAAATTTGTTGAAAAGCTCCTACAGAAGGTAGCGAAGAAAAATGAAAAGAAAGGATTAAACAAACTGCAAGAAGACAGAATGCAATGGTTGTCAGCAAAAGGATGAGCCCAAAATGCAAATTACATGTCAAGGATACAAAAATCAAGCAGGTACAGAAATTTGAATATCTGGGAAGTGTTCAAACAGAACACAGAAAGTACAATACTGAGATCTGAAGATGTATTGGGATGGCTAAAGATGCATTCCAAAAGCTAAGTAGAGTATTAAGAGACAGGAAAATTTTGTTAGAAACGAAAAGAAGAGTACTGAACTGTTATGTGATATCTGAACAATCTCCTCAAAGATGAAGAAGAGACTCTAAGCAACAGAAATGTGGTTCTACAGAAAGATGCTGAGGATACCATGAGACAAACATGTGAGCAACAACAAGGTTTTGGAGAAAATGGAAACAAAAAAGAAAACTTATGCATCAGGAAGTGGCAGTTGAAATTTCTGGGATATGTAATGAGGAAGGAGGGTTTGGAAAGCCTGATACTCACAGGACAGATTGAGGGGAAAGAGGGACAGAGGAAAACAACTCATAACATACTTGATAAGCTTGAGTAAATGGATGGTAGAACAGGGTTTGTGAGAATAACAAAGAAAAAACTTATTAAGAGCTATAAGAGACAGGAAGATGTGAAGAGCCATGATTGCCTACATCCTGAATGGACATGGCACGTAAAAGAAGAACTTACTTGCGTTCATTAATTAGTATTCGAGCACATTTGCCAATATTCTCAGCAGCATTGTTGGGTCGATCTTCATTCTAAAATTTCAAAAAAGTAAATAAATAAAAAAAAGAAGTAATTTTAGTGCAAGGGAGAAAATTAAATGGGTAATAAAATGATTTATAATCAGGCACACAGAAGCAACTAACCATCATTTAGCAATGTTTAACCTTTATGCCCACAAAAAAAAAAAAAAAAGGAAAGAAAAAAAAAAAGAAAAAGGTGTGGGGGGGGTCAAAAGGACAGTTATTCTTTGACATCACTATTACTCTATACCAGTCATTCCCAAACTTTTTTTTTTCTCTGGGCCGCATTTTATGAATGAAAATTTGCTCACACCTCACCAAATTTTGTGATAAAAAGTACATTTAAAAATAAGAAACAGAGAAGGGAAGTTAAAGGGAGATAACCGCAGATTCAAAGTCAGAACATTATCATTGATAACTCTCTCCCCCAATTTGCAGACCATAGTAAGTATATTCTTAACATTTGATATAATGCAAAAATATAATAAAATCGGTCAATAATTATTTATAACTATTTATCCTGGGACTTATGTATGCAATTACAAGTAATCCATAATATCTTAAAATTTGAAAGAATATTTATTTTTGGCATATGAATTTTTTAAACTGTTTCTAAATCTTTGATTGTCTTTCAATAATTGTCTATGAGGCACACTACATTTTGGGAACCACTGCTCTATACACATGACTCCCTTGGCAATGTTTATTTACAATTTTATAAATAAATAAATGTGAAAAGAACTTTTTTATTCAAAAATTAAAAAAATATTACAAAATTATCAAAATATGTAAACCATCATTATTATGATGAAAATATTTTTTTTATTCATAATTTTATAAAAATATCAATGAATTGCTTAAATGATGAAAGAAATTTCCAAAAAATGCATTCTTTCAAAATTTATAACTACAGTTACTTGTCGTTATCTGTTTATTTAAAATTTTCTTATTCACAGACATTTTTTATAATTTTATGAATAAAAATAAATTGTTTTCATATTTATTTCTTTATAAATTAATAAATGATAACCACTGCATTGTATTATTTGGTTCACATTCTTAGAATGTTGTAAATATAAAATTATTCTTCAATATCCGACAATATTAAACTGATACTGAGATATCAAAAAAAAAGGCATTGCATGTAGAATAATCTACCCCCATGGACTAAAAGGGGTCAGTTCAAAATTCCGATGTATATCACCTGAAGAAGGTCGGATCATATGCATTTACTGAACATTTCTTTCATGAATTAAACAATTCATTGATATTTTTATAAAATTATGAATAAAAAAAAACTTATTTTCATCATTATTTATGAAAGATGAGGATAACAGTCTGACAGATGTAAATAGTGTAAAGATTATTCTTGTAAATAAACAATCTAATAAATAAATAGTGTTTAATGTTTTTGTTGTAAATTCTCAAGAACAAAAGGAAATTTATAAATTCACTTTCATCATATATTTAGGTTTTATCAAAATTCTAATCATCGCTTTTTAAAACAAACATTGGTGAGGAGTAGTTATATTTATTTCTTCATAAATTGATAAATGATAAACATTGCATTGCATTTGAATTGGTACATGTTTTTAGAATGTTGTGAATATAAAATTATTCTTGTAAATAAACAATCTAATAGTGTTTAATATTTTTGTTGTAAACAAGAACAAAGAAAATGTATAAATTCACTTTCATATATTTAGGTTTTATTACAATTCTAATCATCACTTTTTAAAACCACAAACATTGCTGAAGAGTGAAGGTAGTTAAAATAATAGCGGTGTCGAAGGAAAAACTGTCCTTTTGACACTGTTTTTTTTTTTGCAGGCACAAAAGGCTCCATTCCATCTTAAGATAAAAAGTTTGAAATTTAAAATTATTTATTTTGAAATTATTTCTAGTCACTGAAGTTTTGTGTAAAAAAATGATTTCACTCTTGTGCAGCTACAGGAGTCAGCAACTCCTTTTGTAAACTTCCACATGCACACATGCATGTCAGCAATCAAGTTGTGGTCACACCCTACCACCATCACCATTTTTTTTTTTCTAATACTTTCCACTCTCTTAATAGATAAGAAAAAACATGCAAAAACACTTAGTCAGCAAAATACATATTGTAATATGACATGTAGAGATAGGGCCTGACGATTGCATCTAGCATGAAACAGACTCTAAGTGTTGACTTATGTTCACTTATATATATATATATATAAGTGTGTGTGTGTGTGTGTGTAGTAAAGGTAATAAGTTCATTGGTATATAATCCAAGTGGATCCTAGTAATATAAAATATTAAAACTGATCCACAAAAAGAGCTCAGTCAATAAGTAGTATTAGATAACAAAATCCCAAATTACCTCATCATATGTGGGATAGATTTAGGTTTATAGATTCTAGTGAAGTTATTTTGGATTTTTTGTGTAATACTATATATAATTTTCCCTCAACAGTGGGGAAAATATATTCAAGCACTATTTTATTAACACCAGCACTCAATGTGTGATATAATCTCACTTATGTCACAAAACTCTTTGTCTATGTGAAAACACTAATTCTATGAAACTCACCATTTATCTCAACCTACCCTGGTAATGACTTACAAAGGTCCAAAACTTGGACCATATTTCTTGTACTTTCCTTCCAAAATGAAATTTGGACAATTTCTGATAGAATTTTCTCTGCGTCCAAGAAGGATTATTTGTAATTCGGAAAAGTTGATCAGGAAAATTAAATCGACACAAAATGTCTGTTGAAGTCTTACTGCATTCCCTTTCTTTCTTAACTGCTTCCATATTGTATTTATTTCTATGCTAGGCCTACTAATGAGATCCTCATATCCTAGCATATGCACTGATTCTTTCAGATCCCTGACTCTCCAGTGTTCCTCCCTGTCCAGTGTTTTTACTTTGTTCCACAGGGATTGATAACTACACATTTCCCTCATTTTTAAATTAATACATAATCTGCCATACCTGATTTCATTGTCTCAGTCTTAGACATGGACAGTGGAATGAGAACAATCTACTCCCAAAGAAATGTTATGATAATAACAACAAAGATAAAGACAATAGTCTGTGTGTAAATAATGATAATTTCTCATTCTAGAAATTCAGACGAAAATTTGAAGTCAGATGTGTAGAAAATGCCTAAAAGGTAGATTTATGAGGTTTTCAAATTTATATTGCCCATATTATTGAATATACAGGGTGATTGAAAAATAACTCTCCATTTTAAAATACTTATAATTTATTTATTAACTATAATTTTTTTACAAGAAATCTGTATGACAGGAAAGTGTTAAGAAAGAGGTTTTATTTAAAATTCTGTATAGGCACCAAATTTTGCTACCAGCTTCTTGAGCCATCCAGGAATCACATCAACTGAATTCACCAGGAACTCTTATGGTATGGAAGACATAACTTCTTGTATTTGCCTTTCAAGTTCTTCCAAAGTCTTGGTTTGGTATAATCGACTTGCTCCTTTAACCAACCCCAAAGAAAAAAGTCACAAGTGTTAAGTAGACCACCTGGCTGGTCACTCATACATAAAATAAGGAGTTACTTTTCAATCACCCTGTGATTCAACACTCATCTTCTGTGACATAAAAGAATCAGATGAGCTAATACACTTAAATTAATCAATACAACAAGTATAGCAAGTGAATCCCGTTGGTGATATTTTTACCTTATTTTTACTAATATTTAAAGCAGGAGATACTAAGTGACTTAACAAAAAAAGGAGTTTATATTAATCTGAGATGTACTGTCTTTATGTATAAATCACGTAATATGTATAGCATTAGTACATCAAAAGAATTAAAAGATCCTTAGAAAACCTATAAAAAACAAAACAAATTGTAGATGAGGTTAATGAATTAGATTTTCAATAAAAAATAGAGCTGGAAATTGGTGGAGTAAATGTATATGAAATTGAGGTGAAAAGTGCTGGAAATTGTTGGGACAATTGGATATGGAATGGCATTATAAAAGATATTGCTTTTCTAAATCAAAATCTTCAACTTACGTCTGCAATGGCACTTGCTTTTTTATATAGATGCACTGCTTTCAAAGGTAGTTCTTTTTCAACCATTCTGTAAACAGTAAAAATGAATCCTGATAATTCAACTGCTGGCCTGATTCACTGCCCAATTCAGTCATCAAAAAAATGTATGTACTTTAAAGTCTGCACCAATAAAATTGATTTTCAATTCAACATCTACAAGTTATGGATGTGCTCAAAAAAGTATAAATTCTTTTTTCATATATTATTATCACTTAAGCATTCCAGATGATGAATTTCAAAAATTGTTTTTTACATTTTAAGAAATCATGTGGTACATGGTGAAGTAGAAATACCTCCCAGATAATAGTAAGACATTAATGGCAATGGTGTCTTCATCTACCATTCATCTTACCATTATGTGAAAGGTATTTCTGGTATGTGGAGGCGGTATTTCTACCACACTTTGTATGAGCATATTTTGTTTTGGTTACTACAGAGGAATAAATTTACATAGCAAACTGGATTCTCCACCAAATTTGTACAATAAAAACAGACTCTGGCCATCTTGGACCTTTGTGCTCAAAAAAAAAAAAAAAATTATCATAAGGATATTTTCCCTCGACACTGCTATTATTTTAACTACCTTCACTCCTCAGCAATGTTCGTTTTAAAAAGCAATGATTAAAATTGGAATAAAACCTAAACATATGAAAGTGAAGTTATACATTTTCTTTGTTCTTAAAAATTCACAACAAAAATAATAAAAACAAATCATTTATTAGTTCATTTATTTATGCTATTTATTATATCGTTTATTGGAATCGTTGGCAAAACATCAGCTAATTGCGAATTAATTTAAACTTTATAAACAGATAAATAATAAGGATTTCTTTATAGTTGATTCATATATTCTAATAATTTAGTAAATGTATATTAATTCATCAATTAAAAAATTATTTTCATATTTATTTCTTTAAATTGTAAGTATTTATCATAAAGACAGTACATCTCAGATCAATATAATCTCCTTTTTTGTTAAGTCACTTAGTATATCCTGCTTTAAATATTAGTAAAAATAAGGTAAAAATATCACCAACGGGATTCACTTGCCATACTTGTTGTATTGATTAATACTGCATGGCATTATCTGTTTAGATTTCTGAAATGTGGTATTGTAACTATTTACATTGTTTGGTCAGTTATCCACATCTTTATTGCCATATTCACAACGTTTTGGCCGTTGAACGCTCTAGACTTCTTCAGGTAACATATGTTGGAATTTCACCCCAAACCCAGTGGACGAAATAAAGGGTTCAGTTTGAAATTCCAACGTATATCACATGAAGATATCCATTGCATGCAATGGCAGAAATGTTGTGAATATGAAAATAAAGATGAGGACAACAGTCGAAACAATGTAATTAGTGTAAATTGCATTGCATTAATTTTAATTGTATAGTTTTTAGAACATTGTAAATATAAAATTATTCTTGTAAATTAATTTTCATCATATGTTTATGTTTTATTATAATTCTAACAATCACTTAAAAAAAAAAAACATTGCTGAGGAGGGAAGGTAGTTAAAACAATAGTGGTGTCAAGAGAAAAAGCATCCTTTTGACATTCCATATTTTTGCTGGCCCAAAACCCAAACCCCACTAATTTCTAGTTGCAATGCTTTTGTATAAGTCCATTTTTTAATATCCCCCACCCCAAGTAATAACCAATGAATTACAAAATATAAGTTTGAGTCAAATGAAGATAATCCATCCACATTACGCTATTTTTGCCTGTGGCAAATTGCAAACTCATTTGACATTCACTATTTACATTATTTGGACTATTGTCCTCACCTTTGTTGCCATATTTATCACAAAGTTTTGGCCATTGTATGCTCCAGACTCCTTCGGGTGGTTGGAATGTCGAACTGAACCCTTTATTTCGCTTACTGGGGTAGACTGTTCTAGTTCCATGTCCCATATCTAATGGATGTCAGTTATCAATTATCTCCTGTTAATTCACCTCTCCAAGTTCTCCACTGCCTTAACCAGGTATTGAAATCACAGCTCTTTGGGTCCTGTCACTGGATTTAACCAACACCTGGTCCCAGAAATTCATACACAGATGTCCTTAAGGACACATGGCACAGTGGATAAAGGTGTTAAGATTCAGTGACATGACTCAAAGAGCTGTGAGTTCAATACTTGGTTAAGTCAGTGGAGAACTTGGAGAGGTGAATTAACAAGAGATAACTGATAACTGACATCCATTAGACATGGCATGTGGAACTAGAACAGTCTAACCCAGCGAGTGAAATAAAGGGTTCAGTTCAACATTCCAACCACCTGAAGATTGCCAGAGCATACAAGGGCCGAAATGTTGTGATAAATATGGCGACAAAGATGAGGACAATAGTCCGAATAATGTAAATAGTGTACATAATACCTCATCTCAGAAAGTGAGCCAGTTGCTGAGGGATGAGTGCTTTTACAGAGTCACCATCTCTAGATCAATTGTCAACCAAAGTTAAGGAACGTCTATCTGCCCATAGGTGAGAATTTGTGACTTTGTGTTAGTACAACCATCGATGGGATCCAAACAAGCTTTGTCTGGCCAATTTTGCTCACAAGGCTTGGGTCAATCTGCAGGATATGTTTTACGTCAATGGCATTGCATATTGAGATCATCAAGGTTGATATTATGAAGAAGTCAAGAAGAGATTTGAACCCGAGTCTCACAATTTGAACACTAATTCTCTAACTACTGATGATAGACAAGGAATATTTTCACAAAGTCTATCTCTTGTTTTTAGTTTTAACAGCTTATCAACCTTTTGCAGGTTATTTAAAGCCAGAATACCAGGTGCTGTAAGCTTGGACATGTGGGTGCTGTAATGAATAATGGTTCAGAATTGGAAATCAAAGAGCTGAGTTTTAATTTCAGTTGGGTTTGTTATATTTGCTTAGACACAAATGCCCTTGGGAAAGGGTATGAATCCACCGTTCCTCCCCCACCAGCTATCGGTTAATTAGTAAGACTTGTAAATTATTATTATCTCAAAAACATCCTTATAATCTAAAAATATTGTCTTGCTTTAAATAATCTGGAAAAGGTTGATAAGTCAAAAATAATTTTAGATTGTAAGAATAATTTGGAGACAATAGTAATTGATATTCTGGCTTTAAATAATCTGCAAAAGGTTGATAAGCTGTAAAAACAATCAATCAAAAATCAAAACAAGAGAAACTTTTTGAAAATATTTTTTGTCTATCATTAGTGGTGGCTGAGTAGAGAATTAGTGTTCAAATCATGAGACCAAGGTTCAAATCTCTTCTTGACTTTTACTTTACATGTAAGTGTGAATATAATGAATCCAACTGGAATTGGAACTTAGCTGACTTCTAATTCTGAGCCATTATCCATTACACCACCCACACATCCAAGTTTACAGCATCTGATATTCACAAGCAGTCACCCATCTAGATACTGACCAGGCTCGACATTGCTTCAGTGATTGTACAGGAACCTGTGTTTCAACGTGATATGGCCATAAGACACCATTGAAAAAGACTTGTAACCAACAGACAATTTCTTATCTTGTTTGCGAATCAGTAATAAAAGTTCATGCCACTGATAAAACTAAAATTGTATTTTTGATTAATGTATCAACATTTGGAATATTGGTAAATTTTATTTGATCACACAATTTCTGTTGCAACAAAAAGTATTTTTTAATCAAAATTTAAGTAAATTTTATAAAATCACAATTTATTTTTCACATGATCTATATATAGAGAAATATTCAGTTAGAAAACAGAACTCAAGGAAAATATACTTACTTGCCTCCTTTCTCCAAGACAAGACGTGCAGAATCTGGTGTTCCATGTTCGACAAACATAGAAGCTGATTTCTCCATTAACTCAGCCGCTTGTTCAAAATGTTTGGTTTCCTTACAAAGTAGCGCCACCTGTTCATAGTTCCTATAAACAAGGGAGACAATCATAGTTCCTATAAACAAGGGAGACAATCATAGTTCATCAAATGGTTTTGACACTGCATAATTAAAATTACTACTTTTTGATCATGTTGGGAAAGTTTAAAACTTTTTATATTTCTAATGATTGTGGATTTAAAAATTCAAATCAAGATTTTTTTTTTTTTTAATTTTTAAATTAGGAACCACAATAATAAATTTTTAGTTATTTTAATTTGTTCCTCTGCAATTACATTTAAAAACTATTTATTTGCTTCATACTTTCCTATTAATCGGTAATAATGTTAAGCCTATTATTTTATTTTTATTGGCCTGGCATTGCACGTGGCATGTGCAAAAGGAATTGATAAAAAAAGGTTCAAACACCAGCTGAAACAATTTGCATTTATTTTGCATGAATCCCCTTAAAGAGAGGATGCACAGTGGAGTAATGGGTAGTGGCTCAGATTGAGGAATCAGAGAGCTGAGTTCAAATTCCAGTCAAATCCATTACCTTCACTTATATGCTAATACCCTTGGGAAAGCTATGAATCCTCTTCTCTCCCCGGCTATGGGTAAATAGCAGGACAGACCGGGTTCTATAGTCTTGGATGGCAACTGGTCTACTGCAGAAAGAAATGGCAAACTACTGCAGGAAAAAAATCTGTTTCGTCAGTCATGTATTGAAAGATACATGATTGCCTAAGCATGTATCACACATGGCACATAACTGACTGACTGACCCTTAAAGAAAAAAAAAAAATGTATTCATTATTGGGTAAATAGGGCAGTTGAAACCCTTTAATCCTGTCAGACTGCTAAATTTGTGTTGGGCTAGCAACTGTCCCATAAAAATTCAATCATTATTAAAACCACAGTAGCATCACTGGTAAGAATGCTGAAGGAATTACCAGCGAGGAACCAAAATTTCCTCTACCCCATGATAACAGGGGATAAAAAATCAGATTTCTTTTGCTGGGGGATATATCACAAGATGATATTATTATGGCGATTGACAACTAACATCTTTAGGCTTCATGTTGTGGCACTGGTAAACAACAAACGCCTGCAGACACCGTGTCTGAGCACCAACAACAAACGTCTACGGGCACCGTGTCTGAGCACCGACAACAAACACCTGCATGTACCATGTTAGAGCACTGGCAACAAACGTCTGCAGCAATGGTTCCCAAATTTTCTCGGGTTGCTGCCCAAAACATAACCCCTAACACCTCCCACCCCAATGTATAGTCCACCTTTGATTGGATTTCCTTGATGCTAGTATTGCATGTCAAAGGAGTCTCTTGGGATTTCCTATAATAATTGTTATGTAAATGGGAAAGCGAAGGCAAGCTACACTTCAGCTACAGGTACAACAATGTGTGTGTGTCTGGTGCATGTTATCATTCAGATGTGCCACTGTCACCTTCTGGCTGCCTGCTTTGTTCCTCACACCCCTGGAGAGTGGTAGTGGTACTGTCCACTTTGGGAATCACTGGTCTACAGGCCCTGTCTCGGAGCATTGGCAACATGTATGTATCAGGGTACTGGCAATAAACATTTTTCTTTATAAAACTAAATAAATGGAAGTCAATATATAAGTCAAATTAAAAATAAAGTTTAAATGACATGTTGACTACAAATAAACTCCCTATTAATTCCAAAGTGAATCTGAATTTTGGGGAGGCAGAGGTTGGATTTAGTTTTTAAATTATTTACACTATTTATATTTGAACTATTCTCCTTATTTTTGTTGTTGTTATCACAACATTTCAGTCATTGTGTGCTCTAGCCTTCCTTCTGATCCAAACCTTTTATTTAATCTATGGTGGTAGACCATTTTCATTCTACTGCTCATGTCTAAAGATATCATCTAGTTCTTATTTTTAAATTCTTAAATGTTTCAATTAAAAAGCAATCGAAACAAGACTAAACATGGGGTAATTGTTTGTAAGCTTGTCTGGTTGACCATTGTTACTGAGTAGTGAGTTTGAATCTTACTGGGTGTCCCATACTCCTGGACTTGTACCAAATTAAACTCAGCAAATAACAGCTTAAAAGAAATCAATAAAAAATATCTTTCTTCCCCACCAATAATCGATAAATATAATTTCATCAGTTTTGTTATATCAGATATTAATATCTAAAAACCACTCCCTTCCATGTGTTGCTACTTTCTTTTTGGAGAAAAAAAAAAAATTTTTTTCAAAATATCAAAAATACTAGATATCAAAATATCAGTGTTTTTTGGGGTTTTTTTTTAAAAACAAATAATATGTATGTGGGTATGAACCACAAAATTAATAAGAGAGTTGTTTAAAGTTAATGTTTGTACATTAATTGTTAAACTTAGTATTCATTAGTCAGTGAATAATTAGTCATAATTAGTTTGTTATAATCACTCGTGCAAATAGATTTAGGAGAGGTAAGAATCAATCTCCTCCCCCAACTAAGGGTTAAATAGCAGAACAAACTGGGATTCTATTAACTTTGGTTGGCAACCATTCAAGAGATGGTGAACTTAATAAAATCACCCATCTCCCAGCAAAACAGTCTCACCCATGCACAGTGATTTAAATTCTTCAGTCAGGTGAATTGTGCTTTCTGCTACAGATGGAGAAAGTGTTTACTTTTAAGAAGTCATTCTTCAGACAATTTCACTGGTCATAGGAGTTACAATAATTTTTTGTTTTTAGATTCTTTTGTTCAGGGAAAAGAAAAGTTAAATATTTAATTAAAAGTAATGACAAATTTCTACTAAGAAATTTAAAATTAGAATTATTTTGTGAATACAGCAGCAAATTCTAAATATATATATATATATATGACGTAATCCTAAATAAGATGTATATAGTATATATAGAGGGTGCGATGAATAAATTGTCATCTAAATTATGCAATATGAAAATAACACTGCCATCTCATTTTAACAAATATATTTAGCAAATTTATACAAAAATATCTAGAAATACTAAAGAGTAAATTTATTCAATAAAATTGCCATTGGCTTCAACCACTGCCTCCAGATGATTTTGCAATCTCCTGCAACTCTCCTGGACAGTCTAAGTTGGTGAATGTTGCCATAATCCTTGCTTTCAGTTCATCTTTGGTGTTACAAGGAGTTTTATTGATCTCTCGCTCAACTGTACCCGACACATAATAATCAAGGGGGTTAGATGGCCAGATGTAAGAGGGGGTGATGTGGTCGCAGAAATTGTCTAACAATTGTATGACTGGGTTCTCCTGCTTTTGTGGCAAGGTGCAGTGTCCTGTTGCCAGGCATAGGGTATTCTATGGCTCAACATATTTACCCAGGGCAGCACAACCTCCCCAAGGCACTTGATTTAGGTCAACATGCTGAGTTTGAAGCACTGTGAGGAGATGAATGGAGGAGGCATAACATTGCTATCACTAGTGATCAATCCAAACACAATGATGTTGACTGGATATATCATCCAACTCTTTCTTTCTGCCTTCAGATTGACTCCCAAACACTCTAAAATATTCATATTGGAGCTGCCAACATGAATACCAAGCAGTACACCATGCCATTTCCAAATTTCTGGTGGAGTGAATTGCATCATGGTGGTCTTTTTCCCCACAGACGGTGCCCAACTGACCCTACTATACTGTGCAGTTGATAAAATCAAAAACAAACAATATTAAGAATATTAAAAAATTATTGACGACATCCCTCGCTAGTAGTGTATAATGTATGCATTAAAATACTGTTAATCCATAGAGTGTTGGGGATCCTCATTTATAAAACTGTTGTCTGTTGTTTCCAGTTTATATTTTTTTAAAATGCAAGTACTTTCAAATAATCCTTTATTCATCGTCAGGCATATCTTTTCCTTATAAAATCAAAAACTTAGAGACGAAATAATTGTTTGTAGACCGAAAGATGTTTTTTTCGAGAATGTGCTATTATTGACGGTTGTGTACAATATCGGAACATGCAAAGACGCAACGCTAAGTTTTTCAAAATTTTAAGTGAGAATTTTATTTGAACTTTTCTTGTGATGTGGTAAATCCACGTATTCTATTTTTACAAGTGTTTTCAGTTAATATGTCATGAACTAAGTATATAGTTCAATTAATATAGTGTTATGTCTTAGTAGTAGTCTTTTTTATATGAATATTTTTGTACTGTGGATCGATAGTTTTTTTATAAACATAAAACATTAGGCAGCATATAATTTATATACAAAGAAATAATCACGCATAGAATCAATCAGCAATATTAATGCATACATTATACACTACTAGCGATGGATGTTGCCAATAATAGCATTAATATTGCTGATTGATTCTATCGTTGATATATATATATATATATATATATATATATATATATATATATATATATATATATATACACACACACACACACACTTAGATAAATAATTTAGACATGTCTGTTTTAGTTTTAATCCTTTTAAGTCCATGAATTAATTTCTTGGTGGCTGTAGAAAATTGATTAAGAAAAATTCCAAAATTTTCTTTCAAATAATTTTTATTTGCCCCAAGTACTTTCAATCCCATCTGAGACCATCTTCAGGGGTTACATATCTATGGATGTGTTATGCATTAACACCATAAATTCAAAATATTTTTTTTTTCACCTCTGTGCAAGGGAGGTAACTTATGTGACTTAAAAAAATTTTTTTATTGTAGTATTTTTTATGTAAAACTTTGCTGCTACAAACATTTAAGAACTTGTTGCTATATTCGTAGTCAATATTATTTATTTTTGGCTGCAATTATCTTATTATCTTGATGAAGAACTGATGCATTTTCAACTAATATCTGCTTAAACTGTGAATGTGGACATGAGTGTTCATTTAAATGTTCTGAGATTGAACTGTGATCATTCAAGTCAAACACAAGCCTTCTCGTCATTGTTATAAAACCAACATACCTATTAACATTTTTATCAGAGATGCAATCTCCCAAAGGGCATTTAAATTGATATACAATGTTACTCTTTTGTAAGATGCTAGTTGATGGAGAAGAGTTGTTATGGATGACTGGGTTGGTTGTATTAAATTTAGTATAGGATGTAATTAATTTTATTTTTTTTTTTACTTGAATCAGTGAGGGATATATTAGTGTTTATGAGTCGTTTTAGAATTTTTTTTCCTTCTGCTTATAATTAGAATGCATTTGATTATAGTAGTTTGATATGTTTGGATTTATTTGAGGATGTATTATGTTCATTTTTATTTAAGTTAATATTTCCAGTAGATAGTCTAATTTGTTCATCAATGATGTAATTAAGTCATTATTAATGAGGGTTTGTTTAATATTTTTTAATTCAGTATTGAAAATTCTTTCTTGTTGAAGAGTTTACTTTTGCATAGTTTATTAAGTTTAGTATAATAGCTATTTTGTAAATAGGTCATTCACTTTTATAGTTGAGAGTGCACATGTTTATGCTAGTTGGTATTTTATATGGGGAAGTAGTAAATGTATTATTATTAGTGTCTATCAATACATTGTCATTAAGATCATATGTGAAATTAAGTACAGTTTTTTTGGTAGTTCATATATTTCGTCTGTTTTTGACTAAAATGAGAAAGGTAAATGGAGGGTTTTTGTAGTACTAAGTATGTTATTTTCAAGGTTAATCATGTTACTAAATGTTGGTTGTAGAATGGAACCCATAGAAACACCTTTGCAGTGTACGCAGATGTTATTTTGATGGTCATAGAAAGGAACTTCCATGGTGCACATCAAGAGTAGTTTTCTTAAAATATTAGGACTAATTTTTAATGGAGGGATTGTTATAGAAATTGATTTGTGGACTTGAAAGGATTCAAACTAAAATAAATGGACATAATATGTCTAAATTATTTAACCAAACATGCTGCTATATATATATATATATATATATATATATATATATATATATATATATATATATATATATATATATATATGTGTGTGTGTGTGTGTGTGTGTGTGTGTGTGATTAATACAAAAATAAAATTTGTCACTTAGCTGACTGATGTTATTTTCAGCATCTTGACCCCCTGACCTTTGAACTTAGTTAACAGGTAAGAGACACTTACTTTAAAGAAATATATTTTTCACCATATTTTAAGTAACTAAACTATTATTTTTGCAAAATCTATTTAATTAACCTGTTTTCACTAAATTGGAAAGTTGGATTAGTGAGCCAAGTTCATATTCCAGCCTTTCACACAAATGTTCTTAGGAAAGGTATGAATCTGTTTATCCCCCCTTGCTACTGGTTAAAAAAAGCACAGTAGACTTGGCTCTATAGCCTTGTGTGGCAAGCAGTCTAGAAGGAAAACTGAATTCACATCATGGGAAAGGCCACTTCACTATCTTTCCCAAGAACGCATGTCTATTCACAGATAAAGAAAAAAAAAGAAACTGAATCATAATAGTCAATATGGCATTTTTTTTCTTTTAATATCATTGTTAATATTCACAATATTTTTGGTTCGAAATGAACAATATAAATTATACAGTTTTATATTTAAGAGTTATATATACAAAATATGAACAGTGTATCTGGTATCTATTCTAAGATATGAACAAAAATATAGCGTGACATGTTTTGTGCATTACAAAGCAAAGGACACTGGCTTTTATATACATACATTTAACATAAAAAATGACTGTGTTAATATAAGTGATAAAATGAAAAAGATGCTAAATTAATATATTGAATTAATGGTTTAATTCATTTAATTCAACATGCATAAATAAAGATTATAATCATTTGAATAATTAAGGTCTGATTATTTATGTATTTTTTTTTCTGTTAATATTGTTATAACAGAATATTGAAATTTACAAAGTCTACTAACAACAAATGAAACTACAATCTAAACAATAAAACGTGAAAAAGAAGCCACATTTCACAATGACAAGCACACGAACCATGGACATTTAAAAACAAAAAGAACAGTTGAAAACTTACTTTCCAGCATAATATTTGCTATGCAGTGTTAAGGAAAATAATGGCATGAACAGAAAGACAATCAATATTTACAGTTCACCACATTATCATAAAATTTATTTTCACCCACTGCAACTGGTAAAATGATTTAGCTAAATTTATTTGGTGTGCTGAAGAGACAATCTTATCAACTTTTAGCAAATCTGCAGTAAAATCTGTTCACCAAGCAAAACAAGTCTCCTGCCATTGCAGATAACTGATCATTGAGTTTGAATTTTGTAGTTGTGTTGTCATGTCTTTCTATGACAACAGAAAACAACCTTGACTAAAACTAAGTTACTGCAGATGAGGTACCCACAATATACAGTGGAAGGGAAAGTAATAAGTAAAAAGTGAATAATGCAAAGTACTAAAATTTAATATTTTAGTGTTGCCTCTTGGCCATTTAAAATCAGAATGACAATGGAATAGTCTTAAGCTGTTAAAACTAAAAAAAATGTGTGGCTATATTTTTTTTCAATATTTTTTTATCATTGAATATTGCTGCCATATCTGGTATTGCTATATATTTAGAGATCCTTGATAAAATACAAAATATAATCTGCAATGTTATTGGTCCTGACCTGGCATCTTAGTCACTTTCTTACTGCTGTAATGTGGCTTCCCTGTGCCTTTTCTATAAATATTTTATGGCAATTTTTCAAATGAGCATTCCTCTTGACTTTATGAAATTAAGGACAGTACTAGATTGTTGACAAGGTCTCAACATTTTACAGTTGAAATGGTTTGATGTAACCATGTTTTATTCTAAGAGTTTCTTCTCTCGCTCCTCTCACTTGTGAAACTCCCTTGTAGCTTCTTGATTTCTGATTAATTTTTATTTTCAAAAATTTAAATGCAATGTCAATCATTATTTTCTGTCTTTTCACTTTCTGTTCTTTTATTGTTCTCTCTCCTTAATAACATTTTCTTTTTCTCATATTCTTTCACCTCCCCCCCCCCTTGTGTCTTATTGATTTTATTGCCTTCGTTAGGGTGAAGAGATTTTTTTTAAAAAGCCTGGGTATCTACATAACTTCCTAGCCAATTACATTATAAGGCAACAAGACATAAACAGAAGTCTAGAAAGCCATTTTATTGCCATTCCTTCAATATGATGCTGAATCCTAGGTCACCTATACGTCCTTAAGTAATGCTTCTACATCATTATCAATATGCAATGGAAAGATTTCATCACTGAGATTCTCACAACTACAAACATTAATACCACATGCTGTCAAAGCCTCAGGTCACAAGATTACATGATAAAGAATGGAAGATTTTCATCTTCTAAAGATCTTCCTGTTCCAAGAACTAATCCCAGACCAGTGGATTAGTAGAGGCTCATCAGTGGGCATCAAAAGCAGCCAGTAGAAAAAGATGATTACAAAAAGGTCCACCAGGCAAGCTCCTTTATTAAAACAAATTATGAAGCAAAAAGTGTTAACATAAAACAGAAACCTTCTGTCTGCTAGATCTTCTCTTGTAACCAATATGACAAGGCTTACTTCTCTCATATTCGTCACACATCAGATATTAAAAAAAAAAAAAAAATCTTTTTACCCCTTTCCTGCCAAAGTCATGTCATGAAATTTAATACTAATGATATATTAAAAAAAAGGAAAAAAAAAAAAAAAAAAGAGAGAATTGACTGAAAGGCAATAAAATTAAAAGTATGAACTTACTTTGCAGCATGAAAGAGTCCAAGACATGTCAAGGAATAATACTGAATTATAAAATATGACCAAAAATTTAGAATTGACAATTGAAAGATTAACAGAATCAAAAAATTATAGAATGAAGCAAAGTGTAGGCTCCAAGATGGAGATCAATCAAAAGACGCAAAGAGAAAAGAAATAATAAAAAGTCAGGTAAAAGCATTTGGATATTGATTAAAGAAAACTTATGGAAATTCCCAAAACCAAAAATGGAGACAAGATTGATGGGGGAGAGTGGAAAAAATGTTTAGTGGAAGCCAAAGAAAGAATAAGTTGTTGAACATATAAAAAGAGGAAAAAAAAAAAAATGAATGGAGACAATTCAAAAGAATACCATCGTGTTAGGTTGAACAAAACAATTTGTAAAGAAAAATTTACAGATGAATATTGCAAAATAAAACAGACACGCACACACATATCAAGAGAAATGTTGTGATATAACAAATACATATTGATGTTTTCATTTTCAATGCAAATTCTATTGTGGCCATTTCTGATAGAAAGTTTTCTTCAAGATGTGGATGATCATGGCTCTCCAAAACTTCCTGCCCTTTGTCTTTTTGTTATCTCTCTAAATCCCTGTTCTGCCAACCATTTACACAAGATCATGAAGTAAGTTACTCTCTGCTTTCGTATCATTCTTGACTTCAGTATGTCCTGTGAGTGTTCAATTTTCCAAGCCCTCTTTCCTCATTATAGATATTTCAAGTATCTTTTTAATTTTAAGTGCCCTCTTTGTTTCCATTTCTCTAAAAATTCACTGTTGCTCACATGTTCAGTCTATGTCATTTTCAGCCTCCTTCTGTAGATGGTTCCATACAATCACCAAAGTTAAGCAATGTCAAGCTTGGTCAGTACTTAGATGGGTGACTGTTTGGGAATATCAGGTGCTGTAACGTGGTGTAATGGATAATGGCTTGTAATTGTTAATCGGAGAGTCAAGTTCCAACTACAGCTGGGTTCATTATATTTACTTACGTGTAAATAAACTCGAGAAATGTCTGAAGCCACCTCTTCTCTCCCCAGTTATGGGTTAATTAGTAAGCCTTGTATGCCTAAAATTATTAATATCATCTCAAAAAAAAATTCTTATAATCTACAAAATATTTTCTGGCTTTAAATAACCTGTGAAGCCATAGAAAATCAATCAACAATCTGTCTGTAGAACCACATTTCTGTTGGTTCAAGTCTCTTCCTCATCTGTGAGGAGATTGTCCAGCATTCACTGCCATATAGGAGGACTGATATTACATAACAGTTCAGTACTCCTTTCAGTTTCTAATTTTTCTGTTTCTTAATAAGGTTACCACCTATCCTCAGAGATCCTTAAGCATTTTTCCTCACATACAATTTAATCTTTCTTTCATTCTAACCTGAGGAAACCAGAGAGCAAATGCTCTTGGTGAAAACATGCCATTAATAAATTTTCCAAGTAGTCTCATTATCTTCAGACTTGTGTTAAGAAATGCAGACAATTTCCATCTGAATGTCTGGGATGAGGAGTTATCATTATTTACATGCAGACTATTGTCCTCATCCTTGTTGCTGTTGTTCACTCCAGCCTTCATTAGGTTATTGTCAATTCCGGTAACCGTAAGAAAATTTTGAACTGAACCCTTTATTTAATCATATTTTCATTCAATCTAGTTCTTATTTTAGTACTGCTTGGTTATTGCTCGCTCTGTTTCTACTGAATTCAAGTACATACTGCCCAGACCATGGATTGAACTTGCAATTCACAACCAAATACCAAATTCACAAACCAAGACTTTAATTCCACTTCCAGAACTGGAAACCTTAAGCCTAATGCTGCCTGGTGAATGATGCTGCTTACCATGTTGTCACTTCTTTATTCATTAATGGCTCCCATATCATATTTATCTGCTAGGCCTACTAAGGAGGTTCTCATTGCCTAGCATATGTGCTGATTCTTTCAGACATCAACTCTCCAGCATTCTTCTCTGTCCAGTATTTCTACACAGTTGATGAATACCCCTTTCCTTCCATACATGATCAGCCATTCCTGATTTCATTGTTTCACCTTTAATTATGAATTTTTGATGTTTCTCCATGCTTACTTGAGAAAAAAGTTTAAATATCAGTGGAAAAGTCAGAAAACTTGGGATTATCAGATTAAAGACATTAAAAGTCATAATATTAGGACAAAAAATAAATTTCAAGAATTTATAAGCTTAAAAGATTATAGGATTAAAAGGAATAGAATGAAGACAAAAAATTAAAAAATTCTAAGAAGAATTAAAAAAAAAAAAAAAAAAATAGATTTGTTAGAAAAAAGAAAATAATAGGTAGATTAAGCAATTTTAAAGATTAACTGATTAGTAGAACTGAAGAGTTATAAACCAGATTAAAGCCAGTAAAGTATTGAGAGATAGCAGATTAAAAGTGAGTCATGCCAAAGAGTAAGCCCTTCTCCACATGCAAAATAATTCTTGTCATGCAATATGCTGTCAAAAACATTTGGAAAGTTCAAGAATTCTTAAATTCATGAATTAGTTTGGTTTTGAAATAATTACTATTCTGACCTGTCAGGTCAGCCTTTGTGAGAAAATGAAAAATGGAAAACACAGAAAAAAAAAAAAAAGATTATCATTGAATTTGCTCCCTCAGATCTTATGCTAAGGATGTGAAAGGGGGGGTGTAATTTTTGATTTTGCTCTCAAGCTTTTTTATTAATGTACAAATAAAAGAAAAAATAAAGACGAAGACTTAATAATTAACATTTATTTCCCTCAACTCACCACCATTATAACATGAATTCACACTTCAAAACATTAAAAACAAAAACACATTATAAGTTGAGAATTTTTTATCCAAAATTCTTGGAACTGGAACCACTTCGGTCTTCAGATTTCTTTGGATTTTGGAATACAGGCTATTTAATTTGTCTATAGCATTTATAAAATGGGGCAGCTTGGGAATGGAATCCAAGCATAAATACAATATCCCTTTCCATTTCATAACACATCTTATACATATACCCTGAAGGTAGTGTTATATAATTAACATATACCCTGAAGGTAGTGTTAAACAAAATTTAATAAATTTTGTGTACATACAGATACAGGTAGCAACACTAGTCATGTAATGCTCACACAAATTTTTAAAATGGTAAAAATAAAGATTTCACATAAAAATAATGTTTTGTATTTTCTGTATGTGTACAAAAAAAAAAAAACATGAGCACTACATAATGAATAATATTTTTACTGAGCACAAAACACCTGGTAAGTAATCCATGAACAAAGGTGTTGCTGTGACGATTGCTAACAAAAAAACTGGTGCCCACATAGGCCACAGAGGTGAGCTAGGGAGACCCCACTCAGAGCAGATGAACTTGACTTGGTTTGTTTAATGGCATAATTTTCCATGGCTCATTTAATACTGAAATTTAATTTTCTTGTCAGCTTTGGTAATTCCTCCCCAAAAAATGTTTTGCTGGTACTTTTTTTTTAATGTATTTTCATGTTTTGTCCGCAGTTTGGGGTTTCACTATTTAACCATAGGTGGGGTAAAGTGTGAACAGGTGCGCTATCACCATAGGTCAGATTCTACACTCCTCAAAACCTCCCAATTGGAGAGGCCTTGCTGCCGTATATAGTTTATCATAATAGCTAGGATAAATTATTTGACTGAATAATATTGGAAGATAAATAAAAATTAAAAAAGAAAACAAATCAAAAGTAAAATGAATCTTGTCAAAAAATAATAATGAAAGAAAAAAAGTATAAACAAAAAATATTAATATTTTTTGTACATGTCTGCGATACATGACAAAGATTACATGAAAGGGTGTGATAGCATAAAAAGTTTGGTCTAGATATGGCATTGCAGTGAGTTGATGTGCTGTCAGTGATGAGTGTAAAAGAAAAAAAAAAAAAAAAATTGAAAAGTCATTTCATTCCAAAAGTCAAGAAATCAAAGACAATAAAAGAAGGAAAATATGTTGTGATGGCAGAATGGAAAAAAGATACGAGTTTGTAATGGCTTGGAGTTCAGCTGTTTTGATGTAGGCATTCTTGGCCAAGTCATAGGCTTTACAAGTTCGAAAACAGGTAGCTAAAAAGAAGAAAAAAAAATTTATTTAAAAAACATTTCTGATTAGACATAATTTTTGTTATTATTATTTACCAGGAAAAAAGCATTCAGTAGGATTGACATCGCCCTCATGGAGAAAGCATTCAGCAAGATTAATTTCGTCGCTAGAAAGCAACGACAAGATCAACCTTACCTCAGAAGTCAAAAGATAATGTCACCAATATTTTTAGAAAAAAAACATCACTATAATGATATCTAAGAATTATACCAAGTGAGGAGGAGGAGGTGTAGTTGAATATTTGAAGATGGTAAAAGAATTAATCAAATTTAGTTGTACTGAAATGGAGAAGATGAGACAAAGAGGAAAAACTATAAAACAAAGTGTTTTGATGACAACCATTGGTTTCAGCTTCTTCAGGTCAGAATGAAAGACAAACATTCACAGAAGGAAAATGTGTTGGGATTTTTGAGGATAAGAGGGACCATAAATTAAATTTCCTTATCAGATCTGATGGCCAGAAACCAGAAAATATATATATATATATATATATATATATATATATATATATATATATATGATCCATTGGTGTCTGTTAGATTTTAAACCAGCCTACTGAAATCAGAAAATGTTTTGTTTTTGTTTTTTTTTTAATCATTTCACCCATACCAGGTGATAAAGCCACTAAAACACAACAGGTTACCAAGTGAAAGTGAATATGAGAAAGAAAAACATAAGGGAATAGATCAATAAAAGAAGAGGAATTAAAGAGACAGAAGATGTTGATTGACATTGCATTTAAATTTTTGAAGAAAAATTGATTGGAAAGCAAGAAGCCAGAAGAGAGTTCCACAAATGAGACATACGACAAAAGATAGTGTTAATATAAAAATTTTGGTTACATCTAGCAATTTTAACTGCAAACCTAGTCCTGTGCTTAAATTTGAGGTAAACTTAAAAAAATAAATAAATTGAGGTACTTATTACAGGCCAGTGTATGCATTAAGAGATAAACACGTGCATCTCCTGAAATGTCCACAACAAACATGGCAGACTCGGGATTTGAGTCCATGTAAAGAAACAACAAGAATCAATATATTACATATATTGATTCTTGTTGTTTCAAGAAATACAAATGATAATGTATTAACAACAATGGTATATAACTGACAAAGATGATAATGTGTGTAACAAATGAATGTGAAAAACGTTTTGGTCCAAAGTATGTATAGTAAGTAAATATGCATATTTACATGTGTGTGGTGTGTGTATTGTTCATGCGTTTCTCAAAAGGGAATGCGTTTTTTAGTAAGAGACTTACTTCCCCCCCCCTTACATGTCAATATGTAAGAAGAGACTGATA